TCTCGCGTGGATGTTACTGATTCAATCTTTTGTTCGCGTGTTCTAATTAATGGTGTGTTTAGGCATATTCTTAGAATGTCACTGGTATATAGGGACCCTCATGAAAATCATTTTACTAGGACTCAATTCGCAACAAGTGAAGGTCGAGAAACGTTTATCATGAAGCTCTTTCCAGCGTCATTGGTGGTTTTGTTATTGTTGGATGGTTTCCTGCAAGTACACGGAAAAACTTTAAAGTAAGTCTTTGACCATTTGTTGTTGTTGTTTTTTTTTTTACAGTGTGAACGACCATTTGCTCTGACGAAGGATTAACGCTTGAAACTCTGTGCGGTGACATTATCAACCCACTTGATCAAACCAAGTTATTTTTTAATACCCCGACCGACGCCTCTGTACAGTTCCTCTAGACTGCAAGAAACTTACGCTTTTCACAATTTCTTTGAACAATCAATAGTCTAACTTCACTTGTATCAATTGCCACACGCGCGTCTCGTGGCACGTTTGTGTTTTATTGCGCAATGTTTAGAGATTGAAGAACTAACATTTAGAGTAAAGATATGTTAAGTTGATATAGCCGAGTAAAGAGGGAATTAGTTGAGTTATACCTCCCACAAAAATCACACGAAAAGACACAGGAGACAGGTTCTAGAGCTGTATTGTCGATCAAACATGGTTTCAAATTGTTTTCTTGATAGAAACTGCTTAAACAAGTGTTCGTTGACATCTAATTTAGCATAATGAAAATGAAAGTTAGCGGTTACTTGTACCCTGTTTTTAATCTATTTACATGTTTTGCTGGTGTAAAAGGGGCATTAGATTATTTCAAGTCACGCTAATTGTCCACGAATCTGTAGCCCAGAGATATCTTACCATTCACAAAATTACTGGCAAAAATGACCATAAGGAAATGTAGAAATAGATATGGGAGAGAAAGCTTTTACTTTCGAGCATTAGAAAGTTGATTTCCTAATAAAACGAATTCTAAGATCAAATTCTTTAACCCTAGAGCATATAGAGTAAGATATGATTTTAAACACGAGAACCCCGTGATCGAATTAAACATTTGCTGCGTTTCAGATCTGACAGTAGCAAGGGAGGCAATTTTCTTTGACAGAAGGTATATGGATGATAATCATTATTGTGACCAAGGTTGTAAAAAGTTAATTTCACTACCGGAACAAGTTCATTAGACTTGGCATTTTGATTTTAGTAATTTTATTTTGCTGGCCAAAGATGAAGATTATAGGTTGCGAGTGTGAAATATCCGTACCAAGTTTGATCAAGTTAGCCTTTTCTTTGCTACAACTTCAATATTGACATTCCAAACTGTCTGCCGTTATTAATTAGAGTTCTAGCTTTAGGAATTTGATGTTTCATCGAGTCCTAATTCCTCGGTACAATATTCCCTCCTGTCATAAACTTACTGCTAACGCAGGCAGTGGAGAAAAGGTACTCCGAGTGATCTGAATAGGGATCGAACCCACGACCTTTCGATTATAAGGTGCCTTAGGCACTCGACCACTGAGCTACAGGTTTTGAAAAATTCCTTATTGGTCACTCTTGGAGGTGGAAAGATTAAAAATGCTTCTCATTGCTCATTTGTTTTAATTCATTTATTTATGAGACGGTCGTTAAGTTGATATTCATTGTAACCACGTAACAATACAATAGGTCAGGTAAGCTTATCTACCTCTGTGTTAGGGCTAAGTTGGCTTTAAAGCGCAGCGTTTTACAAATAGCATGCACACTGAATAGTTTGTTGCAGTGATTTACAGTACGGGTTGAAGCATTAGGGTTTTCTCTCGTTCGCAGCTTTTGTGAAGCCACTCAGTCAAATAACGCACATGTAACACGAGATAAGTGTTTGCTCAGTATAAAGCGCTTAGTTCCGCAATCGTTTCTTTTTCAGAATTACAATTTGTTATGAATATTGTTAAAGAGGGAGGCCACCGTGGGCTGGCGGAGTGTCAGAAGTTATTTCAGAACGAGATTTGGAACTGTTCACAGCACGAAAAGAATGTGTTTCACAAGTTACCCATCTTTTTCAAAAGAACTTGAATTTGAACTTTGTTTATACTGTAAGCAAAGCCCCAGTACTTATGTATATAATAACTTGAGGTTTAGCTTGATCTAGTCCACATTATTGTGGTTAAGAAACGCCTCGAATTTCCACCTGACTCTTATAGCTCGCGGCTCGCCATAGGCGTTCTTATAAGAGCTTCAAAGTCACTGTCAGCAAAGTCTGATAAAAAAATTTAAAAGATTCTTTTTGAGCCCAGTACTAGTAGATAGAGAAAACTTGGAAAACTTGAAAATTTGGGATTCCTTACCTAATGATATAAGGCATTCCCAGTCAGGAGCTAGGTCTACGTAAATATCCACCGTATACTCATCAAAACTGACTGTTTCTGGATTTATTTTGTGTTTGATGAACGTGCTTGTTAAAGCTCGATCTTTCTTACTCTGATATTTTTCGCTACAGCTACTCGAGAAACAGCTTTCCTTCACGCCATTAGTGCAGCCGCCATGAATCACGAACTCACCCTGCAGTGCAGACAGAACAGAATACCCGGATGCAGGTGTGGCAAGACATGAAAACATTCAAAAGGAAACAACGACTGGCAATGGGGAGGTTGTAGTAATGACATCGAGTTTGGAGAGAAGGAGACGAGACGGTTTATTGACAAACTGGAAAAAGGAAACGACGCTCGAACAGCGTTCAACCTGCATAATAATCAAGTTGGAAGGAGGGTAAGCTTAACTCATTCTCTTTATTTTCTTTTTGTACACATGCTGTCTTTCTGGCAAACGGAATCGGTGTGGACTCGAGTCTTCACATGAACTTTATAGTTTGATAACAAGCAATAAACCGAGACTCGAAATTAAATAAATGTATTTCCTCTATTAGCCAGTCTTAATTACCTAATTGGTACTTAATTTGCGCGATTTTGGCTGTACGGTACCGCCAAAAATCGCGCAAATTAAGTACCAATTAGGTAATACCTAGAATTGATTGCCGTTTTATAAAGTCCTAGTACTAGTGATAACGGGCAGACTGGAATTTATGAAAAGGGAAGCCTCCTTTACTTCCAGCGAAACGGGCGCTTTCCCTACCGCTCATCGGGAACGCTGCAACAGAAACCAAGGGAGGCTTTATCCTCTCTTGAAGTGTCATAGAGAATAACTGTCCAAGTGAGGTTCTTTTTCAGTCAACAAGAGAAACTGAACCTTTTTGTAGAATGCAAAATCGTAATGTCTTCGTCAAGAGGGACGCGCAGATGAACTCTAGAAAGTGGGTGCAAAGAAATCTTCAGATTATATGTTAGGAGGTTCTCAATGGGGTAACGGCTTTTACCATATATAGAAAGTGTTACTAAAAATTAATAGGTAACGTGTATGTTTTGTAAGTTTTGGCGCGAAAATTTGGTATTGGCTAAAAATGGACCGATACGGTTTTTCCGAAACGATACGATACCGAGTATAATACTTTAACGCCGTTGAGCTAAATTGTTAGTCACGTGATTTAATACCCTGTCCCAGCGTGGGCTATCAGTACTGGTAGTACGACCGATTTGATAAATCATGTTAGAGAAACAAAATACCCGTCAACCACACGTGTTCATATTAGAAAAAAGCAAAATTTTCATAGCGGGTAGTGGAACTCTTGCGAGTTGTAGATGACCGAGCCTAGGGAGCAGACCTGCAGAAGGATAAAAAAAAAACCTAAGTTATATCCCCCACAAAAATCACACGAAAAGACACAAAAGACAGGTTCTAGAGCTGTATTGTCGATCAAACATGGTTTGAAATTGTTTTCTTGATATAAACTGCTTAAACAAGTGTTTTTTGACATCTAATTTAGCATAATAAAAATGAAAGTTAGCGGTTACTTGAACCCTGTTTTTCTTTTGTTGACTGAAAAAGAACCTCACTTGGACAGTTATTCTCTATGACACTTCAAGAGAGGATGAAGCCTCCCTTGGTTTCTGTTGCAGCGTTCCCCGATGAGCGGTAGGGAAAGCGCCCGTTCCGCTTGAAGTAACGGAGGCTTCCCCTTTCATAAATTCCAGTCTGCCCGTTATCACTAGTACTGGGACTTTATAAAACGGCAATCAATTCTTTTCCCTATTCCCAAGGTTACTGGGAAGTCCAACGCAGACTCTTCTGGTTTTTCTGATTTTTACTCAGCCAACTGGTCAACTGTTTGACTTACTAAATCAAGTCTAATACACCTTCTTAAATACTTTATTGGCGAACTTGTTAGGGTTAGAAGCCTGTCGATCTTCAAGGATCAAAGCTCTTTGCAAAATTACCAACCCAAATATTTGTATGAGGTTTGCCGTAGTGAATAACAAAGCACTTGATATTCTATGCTATTAAAAGAGAATTATTGGAAACCTAAAAAACAAACAGGAACTATGTTATTGGTCCAAACCAGGGCCAGTAGACAAACCCAAATAAGACACCACTAACAAACAGGAACTTTGTTGTTCCTGTTGTTCATCGCAAATTTACTATTTTTACAAGCCCAAAGCTAGACAATTGGGTGAGCCACACCAATCAGGAAAAAAAAAAAAAATATATGAACTTCATATATTCATTGTATCTTATTTATCACTTTCACGGGTTTATTACGAATCAACTTAACGGCC